TTGTGTTGTTGGGTCGTTTTTTCTTTTGTCCCAAAATGTGCAGTAAATTTTCTGTACAGTGTATTTTTATCAATTTATTGGGACTTTGTCGATTAATCCGGTTTGTTTACAAGCAAACAAGCTGCAGTTACTGCGGTAACGCCCCACTTGTAAACCGGAGCAATAACACTGTAGTGTATGTCAACAATTTCACTTTTAAAGCACTTTTTGTTCAGTTTTTTTTACACGTTTGTGAACAGGATTTCACTACGTGCCACAAGAGCATCAGTCGTTTCAGCAGATGCCACAAAACAACAACATGGCCTCTGATTCCTTTTGGGAGCGACCACTGGGAGGAAAAGAGGAAGTCGGGTGGTGTTACTATAGACTTGCAAAGTCTGCAGAGGGAGGGGGTCAGTGTGGACGGCCTTCAGAGTCGACCACTATTTGCTCCTTGTTTCCTGCCGACAGTCAGTGGCTTCTTTTAAGTCGTTTCATATCCTTAACCATCTGGTTATCATTGTAACCATGGTAACGAAGGTTCCCAAATCTCAACAAAGTAGTTATTTTAACCCGAAACCACCATGTTTGCTGAAACCCAACCAAGTTGTTTTTGGGCCTAAACAAAACCAAACCTTTTATTTTTTAAATTACATCGTTGTCCAGTCGACAGTTACATCAGATCGTCATCGTCAATTCATAGACTGTAAATGAAAATGGACGGAGCCTCTGTGACGTCACCCACAGGTTTCTGAAGCTCAGAGTGAGCTGCTCCACTGGCGCCATCTTGGCAGTGTCTGACTCCGCCTCTTAACTCCTAGCTAATCCAAATATGGTCAAAGAGGAGGGGCGTGTGTGGAGTTGAGACTTAAGTTCATGTCAGTTTGTGGCAAGAGTACGCTCACCCACCTGTCACTCAAAGAGGCCACGCCCTCAATCCTCCATAACTTTAGTCCTTAATAAAATGTAAACAGGTGAGTTATATAAACAGGTGAGTTATATAAACAGGTGTCATGAAGGAGGAAATTAGCTCTAGAGACCAAAACAGTTTCTGTACCAGGCTGTAAACATGTTTATTTCTGCTGTAAAGTTGGACATTTTAACATGGGAGTCTATGGGGACTGACTCACTGTTGGAGCCAGACTCTAGTGGTCGTTAGAGGAACTGCAGCTTCTGGTTCTTCACTGTTTGCTTAATTTTTCAGCCCTGGAGACAAAGTAAAACATTAATTTAATATAATTTAGTTCGGTTTTAATCTACATGCCTTCGCAATTGCAAATAGGTTTAGGATGATTTTCAATATCGAATATCGTATCATTTCCCGACCCTTATTTCTTGTCTTTGCTTCCTGTACATCATACCTTGGTATGTGACAAATAGAGCTTTGAACTGCTGTTTAGTGGCAGCAGCACTTATACCTGAAACATGAAATAAAACAATATAATTATATATTATAATATATTGAGATATTAAATTTTGAACAAGCTCAGTTAACAGAGAGCAAAATCCACAAACCTCTGCGCCATGAAGTCATTATCACTTTAACTTGTGAGTTTTATTATCACAAGCAAAGACTCAGTTCAGTCGTGCTACAGCAGCTTCAAAATTAAAATGAACCAACATATAATTCTGTTCTACGGCTGGTTTCTGAGAAAAGCATTTATCAGGCGCCTTCAGACAAACTGTAGTTCTGGTCAACAGCCGTTTAACCACTGTTCTCAATCAGTACTCAAGGCATTTTAAAGAGCAAGTAACCATAGCAACAGCACTGATGCTTCATGCTCTTTTAGTGGTTACCTGACTGGTGAAACTTACCTGAACATTTAGACACAGTCTCTGGTGGTTCCTTTGGTACGTGGCCGCGGTACGTGCATGACATGACTTGACATGAATGATCAGTTAGTGCGAGGTGCTGTGACAGCTCTGACCTCCAGGGGGCGCAGCCCCCCCCCCCCAGGCGTCTGTTGAAGTGGCACAGTAGATTGTGTTCACAGTAGAAATGATACAGGTACACAGTGTACGTTTCTATACTGCTGTACCAAAGTGGGTGAAGCTCCGCGCTGCTGCGTTAGTCGACATGTCTGTGTGTATGTGTGTGTGTGTGTGTGCGCACATGCCTGTATACTGATGTGTGTGTGGCTCTGTATAGGAGAGCTCTGCATCATATTGTACCAGACAGGCAGAGTGTTGGGCTGAATACTAAACAGCAGGAAGCTCCTCTTCACACAGCGTCAAGCCAGCCATATAGGACACTAACACACACACACACACACACACACACACACACACACTGACTGACTTTTACTTTAATAATTCAGGTTTTTCTTTCAAAATATCAAAGTAAATAAGAAGAATGTCCATAAAAGAAGAAAATAGAAGAACATTATTATAATTATCAAAGATGTTACTGTAGATTACTCTACATAGTCATCACTGACACATTCCCCAGCTCTGACAGAAACAAATACCAGAAATGTTGGAATTTAAATGTCCCCATTCTCCAAAAATATCCTCCATTCCCTGAAATGTCATTTTCCAAATACATTCTGTAATGACTTCTTTCCAGAAACCTGTTCCTGCACCAAAAGTCTCCTCACTTACCCAAAAAATGTCATGACTTTCCAAAAAATAACATTTCCCAAAAATGTCCTAATTTTCCGATGATTTCTGAATGTCCCCAAAATGTCCTGCCCTCATTTGTCCTCACTAAACAAAAGGTCCTGTCCTTCCAAATAAGTCCTCACTTTCAATAAATGTCCTCACACTCACTGAACTGAAATTGGTCCTCACAAAGATAGAAACACAACAGACACACACACAGGCAGAACAAGGACATGGCCTATGGAAGCACACACACACACACACACACACACATACACACACACACACACTCATGAGGTTAACACACCATTTGAACACACAGGGACATACATTCACACACACTTACATACATGCACACACTGCAGCACACACACACACACACACACACACACACACACACACACATTCGGCAGCCCACTCAGTCGTATAGTTTCCAGGGAGGCGGAGGATTTTTTCTTCGGCTGAGCTCTTCACAGCGGAGGGAGGGAAGGCTGTTTGATGTGGGGTGCGCTGGAGCGCGCTCAGTGGAGTGGCAGCCTCAGATGCACCCGGCCTCGCTATGCTGTGGAAACATAATGGGAGTCGGCTGAGAGTTCAGGCGAGGCTGTCCACAATTTACATTTATATTAACGCTGCAAACCCCCCGAGCTGCACTGCAGCCGAGGAGAGAGGAGCACACAGAGCTGCTGTGTTCACATCTTCATCATCAAACTGTTGTTTCACTGTTGTCTTACTCTCTTTTATGTTGCTGCTCGTATTGAAATGCTCACAGCGAGATCTCATGGAGATTCATTTTGATTATTTCAGCTCAAAATGAAAGTTTTCCACTATTTACAGTTTTAAAATAGAAAAGTTTTGGTTAGATGTCATCTGTCTTTTGTTAACTTTGATAAAATTCAATAAAAAACACCTTAAGCTGAGTCCAGATTCACTCCTTATGTTGTTATAGTGCGCTATATTTACCTTTCACTATCTTATTTATGAGGTTTATGCTTCATAATAGTCTATTACCCTCAAAAATTCTCACAGTGGAACGACCCCCTTGTTCACTCATTCACTGCTTCATATTTAATGGACTCTCAGCAGGAAATTGAGAATTCGGACACTTCTTATTTTGAGTCATCGCTGACAGCAATTTTCACAGTAGCAATTTTCTAGTAGTAATTTTCTCCTTTTTCTATTCAATTGTGGAATTTGTATTTATATATGGTGGATATATTTACACACCTAAATAAAACGGCAGGGTGTTGCAACAGTTTTTTTTCTGTTGATTGTTTTCAATTGATTGTTTAACAAAAAGAAAAAAAGAAAACCGTGGGAAATGACCGTCACAAATCCTCAAAGCCCAAGATGACATCTTCAAATCTTTTGATTTGGTTTCACAAAAGATGTACACGAATGTGCACATCAAAGTGATTCATTGATTATCAAAATAGCTGATTAATTTTCTGTTGATTGACTAAATTGATTAATTGACTAATCGTTGCAGCTCTACAACATTTTATAGACGTGAAAACTACCATTATACAGCTCTACCTGCGTCAATGACGACGTAAAACAACGATAAATAAGTGTCTAAAATCTCAAACCACTGAGCATCTGTTCTGCAGTGATTTCAGCATATGGCTCAGTATTGAAGTGCTCCAACTGCCAGTCCATTATTGTCTGTGCAGGAAAGGAGGAAAAATTACTTCAGGAATATGACCGTTGTTGTTCATATTGAAACTGATATTGGCTGCTTAAAAAATACTAAAATTAAAATCAGTCCACAGAGACTAATTACAATGTTTGGATGTAAAAGAGCAGTAACTGTTGTTATGTATTGTGCTCATGTCTGATTATTTGGTTTGTGCCACCAAAAAGAAAATTCCGCTAATTGATGATCCCATTGTTAAATCACTGTTACCCTCTAGTCCTTTCAAAATAAAACCCCTGTTGCTTTATCATACAAAGTTTCCAATCTCAAAGTTAATAGTGCAAGTACAAAAACGTCTATGAGGGAACTTTCTCTGCCAAGAGCATGATAAATTCCATGTTAGTCTTCTTATGCATCATTTCTAGGTCATATTATGGGTTACTAAAATGCATCTAGCAGTGCAACTGTAAGACCTCTCTGGAGAAACACATAATTGACTGAAAGAATGAAATGTCACATTTGTAAATATCAGTAAAAATGTGTAGATGATCTCGCTCAAGTGGAGTCTCTCGAGTGTTTAAATGTCATATCGCGATTACACATTTCAGAACAAACAGGGTGCTGACAGGTTTGATTCTTGCAACATGAATCTGACATCCAGCAAAACTGAGACGCTGCTGTGTTTTCTTTTCTCAGATCATGACTTTGGAAGACGGCCTCTGAAACGGTGTTTGGTGCAAAGACTCTTCAGCAATAGGACCAGCAACAGATTGAGGTGGTGCCACACTGAGCTCGACCAGGTACACTGTCACAACTGAAATACTAACTGTCAAAACTAGAATAAAGAGTTAACAGTGTGGCCTGTGTGAGGTCTCATGTTATATGGAGTACAGTTTGTGTTGACAGCAAGTTTATTCCACATCTGAATTCACGATAAAGAACAATATAGAGTGGTCATCTCTTTTGTATGCCATGTGTGGAAAGATGGCACCATATTAATGCTAGCTAAAAATGGTACCTAAAACAAAATTGAAATTTCACTTTGTAAATTCATGGGTAACTTGACAAAACCAGGGTGAGATTACTATAAAACTATTATACGACAGTAGATGTTGTAGTTGTAACCTGGTCGGTTACACGTTAGCTACCACTTTTCAAATGGAAGCTAATGTGGTGAGACATTGCTAATTCGTTTCTAACAGGTTATTGCTTAATAGTTGCTTGTGTAAGTAGTAAATAGTATGTTGCTAAGTCATTGCTACAGAGTGTTAGCATTGATTCCAAGTGTGGTTGCAATGGTTGCTTCCATAGTTCCCTGTTCTTTCAGGCTAATTTCTAAGTTTCCAGTAGGTGGTTTCTAATTGTTGAGTTATTTAATGTGGCTGCTGAGTGGCAGCTAGTGGGCTGCTATTATAAATAGTTGTTAAGTTGTTATAAGCGATGAGTAGCAGCTAGTAAGTTGCTAGCAGTTGTTAGTAGTTAGTTGGTTACTAAGTAGTTGGTAAGTTGTTCAAATTGCTAATTTGCTGCTAGGTAAGTAGTTATGTTGTTGAATGTGCAGTTACATTGTTCATAGTCGTTGCAAGTGGTAGCTATTGGTTCTTAAGTAGTAGTTGTTGAGTAGTTGATCAAAGCCTTTGCTAAGTGGCAGCTAGTTGGTTACTACTGCAAGTAGTTTTCAAGTTGTTCAGGTTGCTAAGTGGTAGCTAGCTGGTTGCTAAGTAGCTGTTAAGTTGTTTAAAGCGGTTGCTAAGTGGCAGCTAGTTGGTTGCTACTGTAAATAGTTGTTACATTATTGAAAGCAGTTGCTAAGTGGCAGTTGGTTGCTATTGTAAGTAGTTTATAAGTTGTTATAAGTCTTTGCTAATGGCAGCTGGTTGGTTGACATGACTTTGCAGGCAGCTAATGAAGTCATGAACAAAAGCACATTTTCTTATTCAGCCGTTACAGGTTCAGAGCGTTAAATTGTGTTTTCCTCTCCAGATGGAGGGGAATGCGGTTGAAAAACGCCATCGAACACGATCCAAAGGAGTCCGAGGTATGAGGATGCTTTATGTCTGTCTTGTCATAATCTTGTTCAAAACTTCTGAATCACCGCCTCCCAGCAAAAACAGGTTCATTAACCCTGGCTAGGCTGGCTAGCAAACAAATATGTCAGCTAATGTTATAACTGCTCCTGTCTCAACCAATTATTTTTACTCACGTTAACATATAAAATCTTGATTTAAATACCACATGAAAAAGGCAATAAACATGTAAAAAAAAAAAAAAAGCTGGTTTAGCTGACATTATAAGTTAATGTTAGCTTAAGTAGTTTGTTAGCTAACCTAGCCAGCCGGCTAACCTGCTGGAGCCAAGAATATTAATTAAACACAACTTCTTCTTTGTTTATTTGATAAGTTTGCTAGCTTTAAAACTGATAGTGACGTCTGTTAAATTAGAGCAACTGGATACTAATAATTGTCTATCAGATATTAACAAGGAAATTTCCAATATTGATACATCATGTTATCTGTAACATAAAGCACATGCAACATTAAATCTGTAAAATGCTCTGTGAAACAAATAATTCCTCTAGTTTTTATCACAATTTTATCACTGACTTGGTGCTAAATTAGTGATTAGAAAACTGACATTCAATCGGTTCCTGTGTCCCACAACAATCATAAATTAAATCAATTAGTAATTGACATAATAAATGTTATTCTGAAGCCCACACACAGTACATGTGTTAATTATTGTCAGCTGAGGACTGAAGTTATTATAACATTAATCTTTTTGTTCTGTTTATCTCTATGTAGCTGCTGTGGAAGCTGTTACACAGGAGTTATTCAGGTAGGTAAACCAAAATTAATTCATCATCATATTGGACTCTTATTATTGCATCACCTTGCATTCATCAAAGAAAGTAATACTGAGAGACTTCTCCTGTCATTAGCATGTCTCATAATTTTGACTCATGATCTAATGATACCATTGGCCCAGCACAGTTACATGCAAGGGTCCAATGTGTTGCCAGTTATGCGTCAGCTCAGGAGATACTGCAATACACAGGTGGACAATGGTGGAGAAACATTAAGAGGTTTGACTAGAAGGAAGGAAGCACTGTGGATTCTGTCCTGGTCGCAGAGCAGTGACCCAGTCTAATGCTCTTGAATGAGAGGTCATGGGAGTTTAACCATCCGGTATATATCTGATTTTTTATTGAGTCACTCAGTAATGAATGTGAAAGCTGTTTGTTTTTGTCTGAAATTCAAGGTTTCTCTCACTGAGTGTTGGGCTTTGACAAGTTTGTGACTTTGGTGGACAGGACAGCTGATGGGAGTCCAGAACTGGACGGTGTAGGTAGTTGTTTTGTGTCTCTCTCAGTCTGGGGGCTCTACAAACGAGGGGTGCAGGTGCTTTTATCTTCTTATAATCTGTCCGTGTTATTATTATTCAAATATGAGGCGAACACAACAAATCATACTGTTAAACTTTGTCAAGAAGAAACAAACTGTCTGACGATGACAGTGACAACGAGCAAAGGGGACAATGAGATGGACATAAAGCTATATAATGTTACACTTGTGGCTGCGGCACCACAGCTGATAAATGCTGTATTCAGATTCCTAAAAATATTGTTGTGCATTAAAAATGTCAAAAAATGTACTTAAAGTATCAGAAGAAGTAATTCAGAAGAATGGCTCCTACAAGGCTGAGTATAGATATCAAAACACCACTTCACCACTGGCTCAGAAGGACATTTTTACAGATAATATGGTCATGGTGGATTATTTGGGTCATGACCTCTAGTAGACGGTTGGCTGAACACGAAGCAGCTAGAAAGACACCAGGATCAAACTGCCTGCGTAGCGTGTGCGTGGCAGCTGACGTCGCCGAACTGCTTCGGAGAAACGCGTGTGTTCACACAGGCTGCGTGTCCAGCTCTATCTCTACATACAGTTTACAGGTTACTGAATGTTGGCTTTCTTTTCATTATTAATTCATTTCTGATTTATTTTTGACAGAAAACGTCACTATAACGTCTCTGTCTCCACATGCAGCTGCTTAAATGGTTAAAAAATATATATTTAAATTTTTTAATGACTGTGTCGTCTTCAGTTTCTACTGTGATGTCACTGTGACATCAAAAGGTCTTTTCTCTATTTCTGCTGGGAGACGAGTCACGTGTGAAAAATACGCGAGACGCAGCCAGTGTGTTGCTCTAAGCTGTTAACATGGGCTCCTAAATGAAAACCCAAACGTTCTGCAGCCGCCACGCACACGTGACACATCCAGTGTGTTCCTGAGAAAACAAGGGATTCCTTCGTTCATGAGTGTGTGAAAGATTATTAGGTGGATTGCTGCGGCATCTGCAGCAATAGGGAAGCTACACCGGGACTTTGAGATGAATAGGGAGTAAAGAGATGGATGTCGTAATTCTGAGAGCGAATCATGACCTTGTGACCTCCGACAGTGGGTCAGCAGGGTGTCGTGTTAATATGAGACCCTGTTGTGTAATACATGAACCGTTTTTCAATCGCACTCGACCAATTCTTTATTACATTTTGACGACTTACAACATTTTGTGATATGACTGGAGAAAAACACCAGCAGCGGCTGAATATCACTGCTACCTGTGTGTGTGTGAGTGTGTGTGAGTGTGTGTGAGTGTGTGAGAGTGTGTGCGTGTGAGTGTGTGAGTGTGTGCATGTGTGTGAGTGAGTGAAGGGGGAAGTTTCTGCTTCACTTAATCTCATTTAGTAAAACTGACAAATATTGGTGTGTGCAGCAGATTATGGTTGAACCCGGTTTGATCCAGGTCAGTGCTTTACTGTAAACAACATGTCCTGTCTGCACCATGTGAGCCTGAAGCGGAGGAGCAGAAAACTCAGTGTGATTCACCCAGAATTTAAATCTGATGGGTGCCGCTGAGGGCTGCGCACCCAGAGCCAGACATGGACAGAGACGCTTTGAAGTCAGCAGTAATGACAGGAATGACTCATAGTTTAAATACTGTGAAATACTATAAGTACGTCACGAGGAATCATTGAATATTTTCATCAGTTTTAATTTATTTATTTATTTTTTATCACAGTCACGGACTAATCTGACTAATCTGCAGGGATAAACATGTACAAATTAATTTGTCATTGTGGTGTGATGTGGCAGATTGAGGAAAAAAGGAAGAAAGAAAAAAACCGTGGCTCTGATATTAAAATTCTTCCATGACTTGATTTAAATTGCAAAATAAACACATCACATCTGTCAGCTCAGTGGGAATCAGAGCTGCAGTTTCTGCTGCATCACTTTAACTCCAGGTTGATGATTAGTGACTTTGTCCTGAAAGGAGGGGAGACTAATGAGTTCAGCGAATGAGCAGATTTTCAGGTAATTTACTGTGAAAATTTATGGTCCCCTGAGGATGACCCCTAATGTTTCTGGTGACCTCCTGACCTTTGTCCTCAGTGCCAGAACTCCTGCTTGTGCACAAGAAATATTAAAACAAACGGACATGAAGTTCTTTGAGGATGGATCGGGACAAATCCTGATCCAGATCCCAGTGTGCTGGATATGGTTCTGGCTGCAGCTGAAGGAGCAGAGGGACGTTGACAACACTCCCACCTTCACATGATGACTCATGTTGAAAATGAAGACAAAAAATGGAAGCGAAAAGGTGGTGCCAAGAAGATGCTGATTAAAAAGGCAAAAAAAAAAAAAAAAAGCTGAAGCGGGATGCAGCAGAGTGCTCTTAAATAACAGATGCAAGCTGTGTCCCAATTCAGAGGCCGAATCCTTCAGAGGCTGCATTTGAAGAAAGATTGCGTCACAGCGGCACGACTAGACTGTCCCATTTCAAAGGCTCCTTCAATTGCGTTCTTCTCTTCCTGGGCGACGAAGGCTCCCACAGATGGATCCTTCATGGTCGAACATATCCCGAGATTAATTGTGCACCAACACTGAAAGTACGGCAGCAAACAACACCGACAGAGAGCCTGAGGATTACACAGTTAAATGTAAGTATTGTGTTTCAGCTCAGTTCAGCAGCTAACGGCACAACTGTCCAAACCACAGGCCTCGAAAAGTTTCACGTTGTCAAGGTTGGTAGGTGACGAGCCACAGTCAGAGCTGACGACGCAGACCGTCTCTTTTCTGTCCGGCCCTTGCGCTCTACGACGGCTGTGAAGGGCCACGCCTCCGTGGCCCTCGTCCTCCGAAAGGATCCGGCCCCTGAATTAGGACGTAGCTACAGTGTTTTCCATGTAGGTTGACGGTACACGTTTATACACTTGTATAAGGATTAGCCTGGTGATATTGTTTGTTTTTGTTGCTGTCAGCAAATCCCATGAAAAGATCAGAAGGCGGGAATGTTGCATATATCCCGCCTCACTGTTCTGTACAAAATGTACAAACACAGAACGGGGAACGTTGTTGTTCCGCCTTTGTTCCGTCGGCGGAGGCAGTCACAGAGCCAGACTGAGGGGGGTGTAGAGGGGAGAGCTGACACGGTGGGACAGGATACTGGGGCTGTTGTTACACGTCACGCCCCGGATTACACAACGCCTGCACGCTATCTAAAATCACTCGCCTTGGCAACGGCTTCTTAACGACGTTACAGCTGGATCTCTGGGTAAAAGGAGCTAAAGGTTTTCTTTTTCAAACATTAGTCAAGCAGGAGGAAATGTTGTGTTTGCTGGGGACTATTTTCTGCAGCGGATTAATCCACATTTGGTGCCCTAGAGAGTATTTAGGGCAGCGGGACGTCGTGTGTGTGGGACTGAGTCATCACATACTTACAGTGTGATGAAGGAACATGTCGCCCAGTGCTACAGTGAGACTCACTGACACGTCTGTAATCATTTCAGGAACAACTGAAGTCTGTGGCTCAGAGCCGTTTATCACGGCAACATTTCAGACAAAAATCAATTAATTTCAATGAAAGTAAATCACAGGAATCAAACTCCCAGCACCAACTGGGGTGTGTGAATTAATCCTGCTCTGCCACTTCATGGTGTGTCCGGACATTTTGCCTTTTTAGGGCCACATCTGGTTTTGTTTCCGGGGCCCGCCGGCTCTGGAAACAAGTGGAAGAAAATATTTTGTAGTTTTAAAAAGCTTACTAACATTAAGGTTGTACTGATGCATTGTGGGAATTTTTTTTTTACCATGATTGCGATTAAGTGTGTCTGACATTGTATCGGGGGAGTGAAGATACACACACACACACACAGAGCTTGGATCAATAAGGCAACACTATCAGTCTCTGCTCCTACACTGATTGATGAGCCTCCTCACCTTGAGCCAATCGCCTCCTGTTTTCCTCCGCTCGTCCTCTTTCTCCCCTTGTTTTCTCACCTCCTCCTCTCCCTGCTGCTTCTCTCCCTCCAGTCTTCCATCACCCTCTTTCTGCCATATTTTATTCCTCTTCTTCTCTTCCACCTCAATTCCTCCCCCTGCTTCATTACCTTCTCCTCCTCTTTGCCATTTGTGTCCTCCCATTCCTCATATACTCCTCAATACTCAATACTCCTCTTTCCTCATCCTCTTCCTCCCCTACCTTCTTGCCTTCCTCCTCTTTCTCCATCGCTCTCCTCCTCCTCCTCTGCGTCTTTACACTCGTGATGTTAAATCTTCACCTCTGTCTCTCGTTTTTTAGCCTGCAAGTAAGCGTGTATAAATCAGGTGATGCTGGGTGGAGGGTGGGTGGAGCTCTGCAGTGTGAGGTCAGAGGTCGCGGGTGTGCGAGTCCCTGAAGCCGGGCGGCGTGCGTTGGCCGGCGGTCTGCGTGTCTTCGGGGCAGAGCGGCCTGAAAGCTGCAGCAGCGTGACTCAGAGCTCTGGAGAGCTGTGCTGCCGGCTGGAAAGAAAAACCCATTCAGACAGAAACTCTTCGACCTGCTGCTGACAGTGAAACCAGCTCAATGAGTGAATGTGTTTATTTTCTCCAAATTAGGAAGAACAGAATATTCCCAATAAAAGAAAGTTTACCTCTGACTCTTAACTCCCTGAGCTCATCCAAAACCCCGGGAACACCAGGCTGCTCTAATCTTTCATTCATTCATATTGTTAACCCAGGGCTAACAGTGCAGTACAGTGCAGTACAGTATAGTATAGTACAGTGCAGTACAGTGCAGTACAGTATAGTATAGTGCAGTGCAGTGCAGTACAGTGCAGTACAGTATAGTATAGTACAGTGCAGTACAGTACAGTGCAGTACAGTATAGTACAGTGCAGTACAGTACAGTATAGTATAGTACAGTGCAGTACAGTGCAGTACAGTATAGTACAGTGCAGTACAGTATAGTACAGTGCAGTACAGTGCAGTATAGTATAGTACAGTGCAGTACAGTGCAGTATAGTACAGTGCAGTATAGTGCAGTGCCGTATAGTACAGTGCAGTATAGTACAGTACAGTACAGTACAGTACAGTGCAGTACAGGAAGCCTGTGCTTCATGCAGGGATGAGGGTGTGGGGCCCCTGGACCAGAGCCTCTACATGAAGTTACTGTAAATGTTTCTTGTTAAAAAGTCATAGTGAAGTTAAAAGACACAAAATCACAAAATCACTCAAAACTGTCACAGACTCTCAAAGTAACCACAAAGACACAAACCCAAGAACAAAGAGACTAAAAATGACAACAAAGAAAAAAGAATAATACAAAGAGACAGAGAAGAAACAAACAAAGAATTATCACAGAGACAAAAACTATCATAAAGAGACGTAAAACGCTTAAAAAGAGACACAAAATCCACCAACGTACAGACTGAAAACAGCGACACGGTGATCTGCTGCTGCTGCTGCTGCTGCTGCTGCTGGAGTTGATTCAGGAAACAGTGAGAAACGTGTGAAATACAACTGGCTGGTTGTGTGTCACAGATCCATGAGGTTCATCCCACTGTGAGTGTGGATTTTAAAACTGTGTAAAGTTATCACAGCTGTTAACAAGATCTGCTATTTTTACATCTTGACGACCACGAGGGAAGAGCAGGAAGCCCTGAATTCAGTTTCCTCAATAAAAGGCCGCGGGATGTATTAATATTATTAATATTTAATATTTCATCTCCTGTTTTTGTTTTGTCCATCAGTCCAAAACTTTCCTTTACTAAACTAAAATATACATCTTTTGCCAAAACCAGCTAATATTTGACGTTTTTGTTTAAAAAAAGAATCACTGCAGCTGTAAAAAGAATTAATTATCGTTAAATAGTTAATCCATCCGTCCATTCTGCTGCTTAATTGCGTTTGATGTGGTATTAAATTGAAGCAGAGACCCCAGAGGAAACCCTGACGCAGAACAGTGCAGCGTAACTTCACCACTAAACCACTGACCACACCACGTCAGGTGGAGCTGCAGAACGAGCAGCCGACACCCACAACCCCACCCTCCATATCACTCACCCAACACTACTGTAGAGTTTGTGTTCTCACTGTGTGTGTGTGTGTTTCCTCCTCAGCTGTCCCACCCCCGGCTGTGATGGCAGCGGTCACGTCAGCGGGAAGTACGCCAGGCACCGCAGGTACGAGCTGCTCCTCTTGCTTTGCCGATGTCCGGTTTTTACATCGTTTTCTTTGAGTTCTTTGTTCCAAGAAATGATTTTGCATGAAGCCTGATGAGTGCGGAGGTCTGAGGATGTCTTAAATGTTTCATCTGACATATTGTGTTAAAAAGTACGGATCACTCATTCTTTCTGTGACCTTTAGGAGCTGCTCAGATTCTCTACTGTAGGTCACTCCCCAGGTAACAAAATGAAACTTCTGGCCCAACATATGCCCGGGTTCTTGATTTTGGTCTTTGGACAGAAGAAATGTGTCCAGATGCACGTGACAATCATGCTGTTTATGGGCCAGATTCAGGCCGTGGAACCGCACGTATACTGGGCCAGAAGAAAACCAGCATGGGCTGGATTTATTTTGCTATCTAGGATCATATTATTGATCCAACATGGATGCATGTGAAGCAAAGAAAACATCATCAGGAAATTTGTTTTTCCCTCTAAGAGAAGAATTCTGAAGTATGAGAAATCAGATTTTAAGATTTCTGGTTTTAGCCATTGAAGGCGTCACATTTCTCTACAACTTTTATTTTGAAAGATAAAAAATAAGAATCTCTAAAACGACGATTTGAAACTTTTCTCCCGCCAAAAATTTCCATTAAAATCTGCCTAAATAAACTTAATTTAAATGTTTTCGACCAGTTTCAACTCGTCAAGTTTCAATTTCTGCTTCATTCAATGAGGTTTAAAGATAATAAATTTAAGATAATAAATTCAGTGGAGACTTTTAATCTTCCAGAGCCTGGATTTCAGTAGCTACACCATAGCTTTACATTTTAATCTTGTTAGGTGCAAAAATAATAAATGAACAATTTAAAATGAAGGGAATTTATATTTTGTCTGAAACAGCATTACAGAGATAAGATATAACAAAATGAAAAATAAAACGTGTAAAAAAATTAAAAAATAATTAGAAAATTGTGCAGACTTTTCTGGTTGGATTGTAAAAGAATTGATGAGGGGTGTCCGGCTGGCTGCAGTCCTGTCTGTCGGCTTCAAACGTCTCACTCAGCAGCTCAGAAACCGAACTGTGGCAACAATAAATGAGCTCACGTCACGGTCTCAGACCTCCTCAATCGGCAGCTCGCAGCCTCCAGTCAGTAAATCCACCGCCCCCTCACGAGGCCGCAGATAGAAAACCAATCAGACCGAGCGCGTAGCTGCGAAGTCCCCAGGTCACGGCGGGCGATGGCCATCCGTCCCGCAGTGCTCCGACCCTTCAGGCTGCAGGACGCTCGGTTTCTGCCTCAGATCTCTGTCGCCTTTGGAAATGCAGAGACAGTGAATTACCAACAGAAGTGTGTGTGTCGGGGGGGGGGGGGTGGGGGGGGGGGGGCATTCACTACAACTCTTGATTTCTCTGGAGTAAAACTGCAGCCAATGTAATGTTTGCATTTTCATAGTAAAACAGGGCAGAGCCACAAAAACATCCATCTGCACGAAACTCATACATTTCTATAAAACAGGTGAAATATATATCAAACCAGATGGAGTTGCATTGAAGCAGAAGTGGACCACAGAGGTTTTCTCTCAAAGAAAATAACATTTGAAGGCTGAATATGAGGCCGTGGAAACTGAAGTAGATTTCATTATTTAGGTAAAAAAAAAAAACAGATTTAAACATCCATTATGAAATCAAAGCACTCGTTGAGATGTTCTGAGGTTATTTTGGAGCATCTCTACGGTATTGTTTTCAGTGTAGAGGTTGGTGTGTGTGTGTGTGTGCGTGTGTGTGTGTGTGTGTGTGTGTGTGTGTGTGTGTGCGTGTGTGTGTGTGTGTGTGTGTGGGAGGCTGGCATGTAGAGGTTGCACAGCTCAGGACAGCGGTGGTTTGACGCCCGAGGTAACAGAGAGATAATGAGAAGGGCAGGATGGCGAATCGCTGGCAGAGCAGACTGATGTTGCTGCGAAGGGCACAGAGCTGCCCAGGAACATTCAGCGTCCGGCGTAACGAGAGTCAGGCTCCAGAATCAGAGCTCAGATATTCACACTCGTATAAAAACTCTGACGGACGTTTCTAACGGATAAGTCTTGATGTTTTTGTGGGAGAACAAGGAATTGGTTTCGATTTTGATTTGATTTAAAAACCCTCTTTTACTTCACCGCTCCGTTTTCAGGATTATTCCAAGAGCTCAGTAATATTTTTATCACATATCATCTTGTTTTAGGGACCTGTGACTTCACTGCCGGCTCCTCGTGCTGGACATCAGTTTGAGGAGTCACGTTTTCCCAGTTGAACTTTCATTCATATCATAGAAATAATTGAAGCTTATAAACTTCATGGTTTGGAAGCAGGAGAAAAGAAGGAGGCACAACTTTAGTAATCTCGATCTGTCACTTTAAAGTGTCAGGTACATATTTAATCAACATTGCATATCTCCTGCTGCTGTGTACATATTTATTTTTACTTTATATACTGAGCGTATTTGGCACAAGAATCTTTTGGATTGAATTCAGTTGTCTTTTATCCTGATTTAAATTTAGAGTGTGAACCGGGTGAACTTGGCAGCTGTGTCATTTAGGTAAATATAAACACCGGATCAGACTCGGTACCGGAGGCTGCAGTTTCAGGACACGGCCGCAATCTGAAGACGGCGTTTCTAGGACCCTAGTTTTTCACTACAAAGCCACCTAGCGAATACCGTCCTGCAGGGATGATAGTAGCCCAGCCCTGAAGTTAGCAACAGGTTTTGTTCAGCAGGATCATCTTCACTAATGAACACCACTTTATGATAAATACAATCAGCAGAAGTAAAAAGCTAATGTTAGACTATAAACTAGTAGTTTGATTCAGCTCTGACCTCTTCCACAGACGCCTTTCCTCTGACAGAGTTAGTGACAGAGGCAGTGAAGCTGGGCTGGAGAGAAGATCAGTTTTCATGTTCAACACGACGACGTTCAACGTTCAACATCCCCGACAACCTCTGAGCCTCATTCAGACACTCGTTAGCAACCGAGACGTAAAAGCTTGAAGAGTATTTACTGATGTATTTTATGTTGGAGAATACAACATGAAAATGTCTTGAGCTTGTGATAAACACAGACCTGATTTCAACCAACCGAAACCCCAGAGACTCATTCAGGACTCATTCCTGTTGCTGTGTGTTGGTTAGAGTGAGGGGAAGGAGTAAGATGCAAAAAAATCCCAAACACCAAAAATCTAAATCCAAAACAAAAAAGAAGAAGATCCAAAAACTAAAATTCAGTATTCTACATCAATAGACCCCAAACCTACATCCTAGTGTTGATGTCATGCTTCGACCTCAGAGCTGGTTTATGAAAATAAATTTCCTCAACAGTTAATTCTTTGGAGAAAATAATCACACTATAAAGTCCATTTAGAAGCTGTTCCCAGTTGGAATTGTAAATGTTGAAATTTCCTCTTTTTTTTTCATTGAGCACTTTAAGGACTCCTCATCCATGCTGGGATTTCAAGTTCTCTCCTGACACTGGAAACAGAGGTTGAGAGAATAACGTTATAACTAACTGTGATCGTCTCTGGTAAATTAGTGACAGAGAAGGAAAGACAGAGGCTGGGAGAAAGAGAGAAGTCGGCCGTCTGATGGTTCCTCTCTGGGGAACCGACAGATGAATTACTTAATCAGTTAATCATCAGCTGATCACAGGAGCGCACAGTACACAAACATCTGATTTTACAAAGACGCAGCAGAGAGGGAGAGCTCAGCGTTTGCTAATTTGTTTCCTGTCTGATTTCTTCTTGTTATTTATTTGCAGCCTTTCCACTAAATGCTAATAAGATTTTACGGGTTGGGAAGTGTCCTCAGACTCCACACGAGTCTGAATATCTTTAGCGGGAATTTAATTTGACATTTCATAAGCGTCTTCCCCAGAGTCAGATGAAAAGATGGATGCAAGCTTCATCCTAGTTGAGGTCCAGAATGTGTTTAGCCTAACTTTGCATACGTACTTGGAAGTAATGTGAGAATTGCTTGTGTGACTTTGTAAAATCAGATGAAAGTAAGCCTTACAAAACCCCCAGTGTTGTCTGATCTCCATGTTAGCTTTCCATTAGCTTGTTGTTAGCTTGTAGGAAATGGTGTGGTGAAAAAAATCCATATATACCTGACTAGTCTCGTTATGTAATTGGCTTCAAATGAGGCTTAACGTTCACAAAACCAGCTCCAGCATGTGGGCGTAAAATCAAAGCAAGCCACATTAGCAGAGGAACATGCTAATGCTAATGTCAAGAAGCTAGCATGCAAAATAAACAACATGGGGAGTGTCTGAATCATCTTACAGTCATTACCTTTGAGACCAACCAGTGAGAGAATAGCAGACATGTTTCCAACACAGACTGTAACTGTCCTGACATGAGAGTCACATATTTACCAGACAGAATGAGTGTAAAGAGACTTTACAAACCGTGGCTTTAGCTAGTTTATTGGCTAACTAATTTAGCAACAGATGAACTGATGAGGGATAAAATGATGGAGCTGAGGTTCATTTACTGTGTTTTACTGTCTGTTTCATAAACAACATAAAATCAAGTTTGTTAGCACCTGCAGCCCAACGAGTGGACGTCATTCAGAGACTGTACTACAGCTGAAAATGAATAACACGCTTCACCATGAAGACGCAGCTCCACGAACGTAGACGCTGGTCTGCTCTGCAGTGGTCAGGCCGTTGCTTTAATCTCTTCACCCTGTTGATGTATCAGTCAGACTCTAATACAAGTACAATCACACCCTAACCCTCGACCACAGAGAGCAGCAAACACGTCTTGAAAAGTCTTTCATTTCATTTCTGAAAATGCCAACATAAGATAAAATAGAGGAAGTACCCACAGCTGTAACATTATTATAAAGTGTGAACGGTTCTGAGACAGATCTGCTTCAAAATCTATACGAGTGTTTAATGTACGGAAAAACATTCTGTTTTCTCTTAGTGAAGTTTAATTGATGAAGGCGTTCCACAGTTTGATTGACGACACAGTCGTTAGTGTA